CCCACCCACACCCCCGCGGGGCATCCCGGCTGGTGGCGGGGGCGGCAGCCCGGCCCCGCATCACCGGGACCCCCGGTAGGCAGCGTCGCGGGGGTTGGAAAAGGGGGGGAAAGAGGGAAGAAACGAGGGGTAGGAGGGGAAAGGGGTGAAGTGGGGGGGACCCGGAGCATCCCCGGGGGGTGTGTGTGTGTGTCCCCCGGGGCGGTGCGGCCCTCCCGGCTCACCCTGGCCCTTTTTCTTTCTCCCACTTTGCAGATAATGTTATGGACATTGGTTTAGCGAACGAAAAAGGCGGTCAGGAACTCTCCTCTTATTCGGGGACTTTTCAACCCGCCCCGGGGAACAAAACTGTCACTTACCTGGGGAAATTCGCCTTCGATTCGCCCTCCAACTGGTGCCAGGATAACATCATCAGCCTGATGAGCGCCGGCATCTTGGGGGTGCCGCCGTCTTCGGGGGCTCTGACCAGCACGCAGAGCTCGGCGGGCAGCATGGGGCCTCCCCAGGGCGAGGTGGACCAGATGTACCCCGCTCTGCCCCCCTACTCCTCCTGCAGTGACCTCTACCCGGAACCCGTCTCCTTCCACGACCCCCAAAGCAACCCCGGCCTCACTTACTCCCCCCAGGATTACCAAGCGGCCAAACCCGCTTTGGACAGCAACCTCTTCCCCATGATCCCAGACTATAACCTCTACCACCACCCCAACGACATGGGCACCATCACGGAGCACAAACCTTTCCAGAGCTTGGACCCCATCCGCGTCAACCCGCCCCCCATCACCCCGTTGGAGACCATCAAGGCCTTCAAGGACAAACAGATCCACCCAGGTTTCGGGGGGTTACCCCAACCTCCTCTCACCCTCAAACCCATCCGACCCCGCAAGTACCCCAATCGTCCCAGCAAGACCCCCCTCCACGAACGACCCCACGCTTGCCCGGCCGAGGGTTGCGACCGGCGTTTCTCCCGTTCCGACGAGCTCACCCGCCACCTCCGCATCCACACGGGTCACAAACCCTTCCAGTGCCGCATCTGCATGAGGAGCTTCAGCCGCAGCGACCACCTCACCACCCACATCCGCACCCACACCGGCGAAAAACCCTTCGCCTGCGAGTTCTGCGGCCGCAAGTTCGCCCGCTCCGACGAGCGCAAGCGACACGCCAAGATCCACCTCAAGCAGAAGGAGAAGAAGG